ACAATATAAATGATCACATATCCCGAATATTTGTCATCCTCAAAATCACTTATATTTCTGATAGAAAAATATTTTATAATTAATAGCGAACAGTAATTTGCCAGTAATTCACATCTGTTTGATTTTAAATTTGGTTGTATACAAATCATAAAATATATTTTATTTCAGAAAATACTTTTACTTCATAAAAAAACAACTGTATACTTCAACCCATTAGTATTATTGATTACTTATCGATCTTAATTTCCTCATGTAGCTTAATAAAACTAAATCGAAATAACATGATTTATTGATATTTTTATTATTTGATATCTATAAATAATTCCTTTTTTTTTTTGTAATTTTTAATCTCATTCATTATATTTACGTGTTCCATAGAAAATATAGTAGGGATAACAACGGAGTAAATTTAAAAAATAAATAAATAATGCCAAGCTGAATTATAAGTGAGCCAATCATTCTGTACATATTTCTTCAGATTATATGTGTATGTGTGTGTGTCTGTGTACATACACACACATATAAATAGTTCCGGTTAGGTCTGGAGGACTGGAGCTGGAGACACCGATGCAGCTGCAGACTGGAAGAGAAAGCCGCTCTCTCTGGTGCAGCCGGTTTTGTTTCCTTTTTATAGCCGTCCTCCCTGTGTCGTGCCTTATTACAATACGCCGCTGTGTCACCGTTAATGCCACATTTGGATTGGATATCCACTTTTGGCAAAAATCATTATCTTAATATGCAATTTTCTTTTAAATTTCAACCTGTAACCTTCCATACAAGTGGCATGGTTTAAGATGATTTAAGAGACGGCGAATGATAGAACAGAGAGAGTTCTTGTAACACAAGTCATTAAAGCTGATATCCCACCATAAGGTAGGAACACGAGGTATCCTAACGCCTCTATAACATGCTAAATTTGAATAACATTTAGGTTATCCAAGTATTTTGATAAATGTTCGAAAACACCACCATTGACCCCTAAACATTGCGATGAAAGGTTTCCAGATTGTTGATTGGTCGCGGTAGTCTAGTTAGGTGGCCTCCAAGTTATTGTTAATAGGACTGGTCCAAATATGAAGTATACAAAGTAGAAGTAGACACTCGGGATGCACTAATTCATCGCATTAAGAAAGCTTACAATGAGGAAGGGAACTATCGTCCATCGAAGGCGAAAATGTTTAGAAGTCAATGGTAGTATTTTCGAGTATTTATTAAAATAAGACTTCGATGACTGAAATTATAATTATGACAAAAATATTCTTTGTGTAATTTCGTATATTTATTATTAGGCAATAAAATTTAAACAAATGAAAATGAGATAATGAGATATGCAACACCCACTTCTGGAGTTTAGCCGTTCTTCCGAATCACCCTCTATACCAGGGGTCTCTAAACTACGGCCCGCCTGAACCTGCAATCCGGCCCACGAAAGCTTCTTTAATTAAATAATAAAATTTAAAAAATAATAGATAAATATAAAAATTGGTAAATCGCTCAAACACGAGGTTACTTACTACAACATATATTGTATGATTTGTTTCAATTAGAAAGCACATTTCACAAATGAAGTGTCATTTATAGAACAAACTTTTTTTTTTTTTTTTATCACAATCCATGGACTTACTGAAGTTCTCAATGTGGCCCGTGAGCCAAAAAGGGCCCTCTGACGGGATATATAGGTTGCCTTCAAACGTTTTTGCGCGATATTTATTAATCTAGCACAAGAGTTAATCAAGTTTTGAAAATTTATATAATTAAGTTGAATATATGAATATGGGCGTGTGTATTAAGAGATAAATAAAAATAGCAACAGTAAAATATAAAGAATTGTTGCGGCCCTAATTAACACTGCCTAACCTTATACTATGGTACAGACCCCTTTTTATCAAATTATTAACACCCGTCTAAAACTTCGCAAATAGCTCCATCCTAAAGTACAGTAACCTACAAATATTTTATTTACGAAAGCTTTCGCAATCGGGACGTTTTCAATCTGCAGATCGGCAAACTTTGTTTATTTATTATGTACTAAAAACACTTGACTACCCGTTTGAATCGTGAATTAATATGATCACAATACCGAAAAAAAAAATATGTAGACAAAAATATTAGCTATTTGGCCAATATAACGTGGTTATTTTGGCATTTGGATTGTGAAGGTCACACCAAACAGTCCAAAATTTTTGTAGGCCTTTCTTTTCGATTTAGTGATCATATTACCTTACGATTCAAGTGTAAAGCAAATGGGTATTGATGAGTTTTAGTACTTAATTAAATAGACAAAGTTTGCCGAACTCCAGATTGAAAACTATCAATTCCGAGGATTTTTATAAATAAAATATCTCTAAGTTACGATTAGATAAAGCTATTTACGAAGTTTTAGGCAGATGTTAATAATTTGATAAAAAGGAGAGGACTATTACTGCGGCCTCTAATGATAAAATGATTCTACATCTAAGCTTCATATCATGTTAACAGTTTTTGTACTTTTATTCATAGCTCTACTTTTTGTTATTTGGAATTAATCGGTTTGACAAGTGGACGGGTCATAATATTTATGTATTGAAATTTACAACTGTATAAACAATAAGACTAGTAAAAATGCAGACATTGGAAATAGTGACATGAATAGACTTGAAGAGATACTGCCCAGTGGTAGCACTCCCTATTTAATTTTAGGTGAGAAGATCACGTGGCCATCTACATTTCACATGCCTAGGGAGATAGATCATCAGGAATCGAGGAAGAAGCAAGGCTGGAAACAAGTGGATTCGGATGGTATTGGAGTTTATCATGAAAGGATAGGTATCTGGCTCGGGCTAAATCAGCAACCTAGTCATAATCTGAATAAATAAACTATGTTCCAGCATGGTAATTTCTTTGAGTGTCAAAATAGGATTTTGTGTAAAATCGTACGGCAATAAAAAAAAAGTTCTTTGAACAAATGCGTATACTATGAGACCGGATTATACAGAAGAAACGCCATTTCAATCTTCCTCACACTTCTAATCCTTGCCGGCTGCCGGAATCAATCTCACCCCCTAATTTGGAGGGGAATGTGAAATTTGAAGAGACCCCGATCCGCAACAGATAGCCAGGAGAGGACGAGGAGGGCCAAATGACCCCCCAATCAGCCCAAGAATTTATAAGGTGTCCCAAATTAGAGGCAACCTTAATAGCGATCGTTATAGCCCAAGGAGATTCCTGCTTCGGCTCCAGTCCCCGGCGCCGCCGATACCCCATTCATCGGCCCCCAACAGAACCGACATCTGATTACCATAGTGGTCTATGGAAAGTATTCTTACGTCACTGCAGACCAGGAGTGATTAGAAAATCAGAGAACCGCAGATGAATGGAAGTTTGCGGTGCTATTAGGAGACTTCCAGCTGGCTTCAGGAATAATTACTACTCCTAGCTGTTTACTAGTCGAGTGAAAGTTGCACATGAAGCTCCAACCAATCCAGTAAAATTCTCAGGCCTTCCTGGGAAAATATTCACGGGATGTAGTTCGATAGTAATTGATAATTACGAACATCGCCATGAAAGGTGTTAAAGATATTCAGAAGCACGCAGAAATTGATGGAACATAATTCTGTTACTTGAAATTTATAATATAAATTTTACTATCATAAAATATAGGAAATTTCCTCTTATGATACTATATTCAATATTTGCGCAATCAATTTATTAACTATTTAATGACTATTAGTGCTCTCGATGAGTTTTCACTGGTTTTAATATCAGTGACGTAGATGATGGATTTATCAAAGGCTGGGATCTCTTGGATTCCTGTTTTTTCGTCACAAAGGGAACAAGGCCAGGTCGGAGTTTTTTTGGTTTATCGTAAAAAGTAAACTTTTCGAAACTATCTACGTACCCTCCTTGAAATAAAAAATCTAAAATTTTAGAATAGTTTGCATTCTTTTGATTGGCCGAGTTTAAGAGATATATACAGGACATAATATAATTTAAAGCGAAAAACGGCGTATGGTCAATGATGGATTTTTCTATTATACATATATTTTTTTATTTATTGAATATTAACACAATCTGCCACACTATTTTTGGATTCAAATTATGTTGTTGTATGTATATTTTACGAATTCATTAAATATCAAACACCTAACTGGATATGAATTTTTCTTGGTTGATAAAAAAAAAAAAAATTATTGAAAATCATAAACGAAAAAAACAGCGAACATGTCACTTGATCATTTCAACTCTACTCTATTTTATCATTCCAACTCAAGTTCTTTATAATCCTTTTGTCTTGTCATTAGGATGATTGATAGTATGATTGTAAAAAGATTTATAGCCAAAATAAAATACCTCTTCATTTTAAAATTTCATGTATTTATAAATATAAGTTCCAACACCGCTGAGTTAATTTCATTATCTTTACAGGAGGTGGAAAAAACTACCCCAAAAATCTTTCAAACATATTTTGACGCTACGAAAATGCATTATGGAATCAGAAAGTTCTAACTGTAGAATTTTAATACTCGAATTTAAAGTAATAAGTGGTACACTTAAGCCATGAGCGAATGCAAATATAAGTTTACTGCTTCAAGATATTGTACAAACAGATCTGTTAATCTAAGTAACACAATATTCATACTACAGTAAATTGCAACGTTGAAGCTCTGTTTCTCAAAATTATGGTAATAAATGCAGTTTAGAACCTTTTTGAACCAAGGACAAGGATTGATAGGCGTGAGAGAGAAGTGTACCCAACGGCATCCCTTCCTATCTGGTTTTTAATTCTTTAGACATTTTTAGGAATGAATGTTTCTCATCCAGCTTGTTTTGAGCCTCCTAAATTTGTAATTATTTCTTTACATAAAATTTTAATAATCATTAAAGTCTGAGAGATAAATGTAACTAAAATAATTTAACTCTACAGCAGTTCGTTACCATACGTAGGTATTATATAAATAATATATAATAAATAAAAACATATTTGAATACTTTGGAGACAAAAATATATAAGAAAGGGTTACCGTGTATGATTCTGGAGGGTAGACGATGAAATGGCGGAGTGTGAAGCCAAAGCCTGAAGCTTCTGATCTTCTCAGCACCAAGTTGCGGGGACCTCTTCGCTTATCATCCTGCAAAAGAATTAATTAACATTAACACTAAATAATAAAGTATATCATTATATAAAGAATTAATTAACATTAACACTAAAAAATAAAGTATATCATTTTATAAAGAATTAATTAGAATTAACGCTAAATAATAAAGTATATCATTATATATAATAAAGTATAAAATCGATTAAAAACACTGCAAATTATTACACAATGGTTTATTATTCCCAAACAATTTAACATCAAAATTAAGATTACTTACTATCCGTGCAACATTAAGGAAAATAAATAAAAAGGAATTTCTAACGTTGGACTTTATAATTATCTTTTTTTAACATTGATAATTTGCTTTAAAAATAGACAACATTGCTACAGTTAATGTAAAACTTTAAAAAAAAAAGATATAAGAACTGCAGTAGAACAAATAAAAATTATTTAGAACACCACATCTTTGCTTCGAGTTGTCCGATTTCACGATTTTTTTTCTTTCTTTTTTTAGTAAAATTCGTACACTTTGAAGTAACCGTACAATATTGACGAAAAGTTGTATACTTCTTGAGTTCTTCGGAAATGCAATTTTACCACCCCTCGTGTGATTTTTTTTCCCAACTTCTTTTCGTTGAAGTAAGTAATCTAAATAAATTTCAAGGTAATCGAGGCCTTGCCAAGTTTCATTGAAATTGGCATATTCGTTTAAGCGCTACAGTTTTATTAAAAACCAATACAAGTTTTTCGGCTGCCATTTTGGAAGAAAAGGGGTGGATAGTAATGTCGGGTAGATGGATCATCCTCTGGCGACGTCAATCTTTATAATTCCAAATTTGAAAAAAATCGGTCCAGTAGTCTCGGAGAATAGTCGCGGACGGCGTACGGCGGACGGATAAAAAAATCTTTATTCGATTCTCGAATTGTGCGTATCATGAAACGTAAAGCAATTCAAAGATAATTGTTTAGTTTGTATTGTACAAATACTTTGGTATTATGTTTTTTGTATTATAATAATTACGTTGATTATGTTAATTATCACTAATAATACATAATATATAACCTTCCGGTACATATTTTTGGGGAGATAGTCCATCGCTACCATAACCAGAATAAAAAGTCTGTGCCTATGAATTGAAGAACTTTCCAAACAAAGGACACTTGATCGCTGCGGATGGAACTAGTTGCGAAGATTCCAAATTGCATTTTTCTCTAAAAAAAAGAGGAAGAAAAAACAAAAGAAAAGGGCAGAAGAAAAGGACAAAACGTCGAGACAGCCACAAAATGAGAGAGAGCAGTACCACATCGTACCCCCTTTTGGAACGAGTGCAAAAAGTGGTTTGCCTTAGAGGACCATCCGGGGACATAACTGGAGCCCTATAAAGGTAGAAGGATACCCTGGCCATCTTATAGGGCGACTAAATCCAACAGAGCCAGAGTCTATTCAATCCTTCAAAGAAATATGGAGTTGTAGAGTATAAAACAATAACTACAGTCCGTATTCTGCAGAAGTATGTAATAACATAAAAGTAATGAAAACACGGAGTTGCAAAATTAATATCCAGTGATGGCTAATCATAGTCTGTTCAGTTTAGGTTAATTTTCGGATGGTTAGTCATGCGGACTTGTGTGAGGGGAGGCGGAAACCCAACATGTTCGCATAAAAACATTTTCTTAAAACGCCGTTGATCAATCACTTTCACGTAAATATTGTCACTTCTTTATTTAAAAAAAAAAACATATCGACAGCCACAAAGAGCCTGTAAGTGCCATTTTATATCAGTCCCACGTATCTTCAGAAATAAAAAACAAAAACGTTATTTAAAACATTACATCTTTGTTTTAATAATGCAGTAAAAATTGAACAGAAAATATAATTCACAAAACCAGAAATGTGCCTTTTGCTAACGAATAATTTTTGCACTTGCAGGATTTAATGTTTGTGCTGAGATAATTATTCCTTTTTTTATACAACGAAATATTCATAAATGTATTTACACGTATTATTTAATATCATAACAAGAAAAGTCCTACTCTTTTATATTAAAAAACAAAACAAAAAGCTGAGGTGAGATTTTTTTTTTTTTTGTATAGCCTGTTTTTACAAGTATTACACCTGTAGGCCTCCCCAATTAAGAGGGTAATGGTCTAACTTCCCGCGGGGACCAGCCGTATTGGGAAGTAGGGCCGGGATTCGATCCTATGATCTTTGCTTTACTAGTATAGCGCGCTAACCACAAGGTGAGATTAATAATATGAAATATAAATTATAAAAAATAGCTCATTATAAAGAGGAAAATATTGAACAATTCCCTCGCTTACAGTATGCAGCTCAGATTTTTAGTTTCTCACATATTCTCAAAATTCTTATCCATAATAAAACTCGTTATCATTTGATTTTCAACACTATTTTTTCCTTTTCACCTATCTAACACGGCGTCGCGTCAAGATATAATTTTGAATAATAGCTCGTTACAAAGAGGATGAAATGATGAACACTTCGCTAAGAACATGCAGGTCCGATTTTTAGTTTTTGAGATATCTTAATACATAAGCAAAAACACTTCAATTAGTCGATACCAGACGACTTTACCCGAACGTTACACATCGCAGATCTGATGACTCAATCTAATTCAGTCTTCGCAAAAAAAGTGCAAAACGCGTTTAAAGAAGTTTTAACTTCATTTTTTTTTTCCCTTAACCCCAATAATACCTACAACAATTTATTTTTTGTGTTGATCGCCTTTTACTGTACTGTAACTTTGTCACACTTTAGGGCCTACTGAAAGTTTTTTTTTTTTTTTTTTTTTTTTTTTTTTTTTTTTTTTTTTTTTTTAACTCCATGTCATGTGGTGTTGAGAACAGAATGGTAGTACTAGACTTAAACATGACCTGTTCTGTACAAAGTGCATTCTAAGAGGAGGACGGGGAATTAGGACTACTGTGGTCATTCGTAGTTATGACGTGTCTTAGTCTGATGACGAGGCTCACTAGTGTCCTGAAAATGTCAATTTTCTCAGTCTAGTAAAAGGTTTTTAACTGTATGTCTGACATCTCATAGGTTTGTGAGTGTTTTAAAAAGTGGATTTGTCGAGTATTTAAGACTAATTTTCTCAGTCTAGTAAAAGGTTTTTAACTGTATGTCTGACATCTCATAGGTTTGTGAGTATTTTAAAAAGTGGGTTTGTCGAGTATTTAAGACTAATTTTCTCAGCCTAGTAAAAGGTTTTTAACTGTATGTCTGACATCTCATAGGTTTGTGAGTATTTTAAAAAGTGGGTTTGTCGAGTATTTAAGACTAATTTTCTAGGTCTAGTAAAAGGTTTTTAACTGTATGTCTGACATCTCATAGGTTTGTGAGTATTTTAAAAAGTGGGTTTGTCGAGTATTTAAGACTAATTTTCTCAGTTTAGTAAAAGGTTTTTAATGTACGCCTGACATATCATAGATTTGTGAGTAGGCGTTTTAAAAAGTGGGTTTGTCGAGTATTTAAGACTATCAAAGAATTTGATATGCCTCGAGTAATAAAGTCCGCCCGCCTTCGGTAAATCGATCACATTTTCATATCATTTCGCCTTCTTCTAAGGCGAGTAAAGAGTAGAGTTAAGGTCGCTTTGAAAAATTGCACCACAACAAAATTATGCCACATTTGCACGAAAATACTCATATTAAATGAAATGATATGAAGAAAATGATGTCATATGGGCAGTTACACTTTAAACTCAAGATAAATCGTAAGCATTTGATGTGAACTATCGAAATTTGAAAATTTTCCTTGAGTAATCGTCCGCGGAGAGGTTCGGCAGTTCTTATTCTGAGAGGGCTTATTGTTACAACTGTTTTATTGTATACCTTCACTGAGGTTTTGGTGTTAATTATTTAATTTTTATACATTTTTCTGGGGGACTCTCAGATTACAAAGGTGGGAGTGTTCTCAATGATGATTCAACATTTGGCTCGGTGATCCGTAGATTCCAATAGGGAACTATTTCTAGATTCAATAAGATATATTAAGTGGTATAAGATTCACACTGTGGAATCCGGTGGAGCCGGTCTGGATTTATTTAAATCCTCTGATACTTTACATCACTGGCGGAAGATTATTGATTTTGAACTTAAAACTCGAATACAAGGAAAATTTTATTCTAATTAAGTCAACATACTCAGAGTTTAAAAGCATGTCACCTTAAAAGTAGCTTGACGCTTTCCCTGTGAACTAGGTTCAGCCTTTTGTACAGTTGAGCCCGTGGACATTTGACCACACACAGAGCGTATTGACAGGCCTGGGGTACAAAGCGACCAGCCACAGAGAGGACATAATGGCTACTGACCCAAAAGAGGCATCGCTTCTGGAAGAGTGACCGCGCTGTAATATATGTCATCTAAGCTTTCGAAAATGAACACATTACTTTTAATCTTTTTATTAATTGAACAATAAAAAAAATGTGAAGTGAAATAATGTTACAAAGTCTAACAAATCTATACGTACTCGTTCGTACGTATGATGGTACAAACTTTATATGAACCATTCCATTCTTCAACTTGATCATGCCCTATAATTGCCTAAACCTCAGTGATGAGAATTCGTTAATTTCATTGTGATTATCGATATTAAAAATATTATCGATAATATTCTAATATTGATATTTTCCTTCTATCGCTTGTAGGCTTTAACTGTCGATATAGTCGAATAACTATGTTTCCTTTATATTATAATTATTAGGGTGGAATGTGAGGTAAAAAAAAAAATGAAGTGAAAGTTCTGTGATGGGTGCACCATACCAGACTTTTTTATCTATTTAATTTTAATTCCGCTCTCGCTCAAACTCCAGACTCAAACTTGGCTTCAGCACCAGTGACGCGGTTGAGACAGTAACGCAGGGATCTCTCGAAGTCCTGCTTTTCCTTCTATATACCTTCTATATATAAGGAGGGAGAAGCCTGGCTTGGGATTCCCTGCCTAATTGTATATATTGCATATAGGTATGATTGTGTTTCGTATGTTTTTTAATTTACTTATCTTTAGATTATTT